TTCACCATAAGATAGAAGTCCTATATAATATACATAGCATGTAAAAATGATTGAAGAAGAAGGTAAAAATCAAACACTCAATGCTGAAAGAACCTTTCGCATGCAATAGAAAAAGAACGACTGAAGCTACATTGACTACAAAGCAACAATATAAAACAAAATTATGTCAAAATGCACAAGGATTCTTCAAACACGACGTACTTCAAAACATGATCGTAGAGCAAAATGCAAATTACAATTCGTTTTAAAAGAAAAATATTTAAATTATCGCGGCTATTTAACTAATTTGAACTGATACCTAGTAATACATCCGAAATTGCATTTGAAAAATACGTAGCAGACTTCGCCAGTGATTCTTATCCTCTCAGAGGAAAAAAATCCGCAAGCATTACTAGGATAACCACACTTGGAACAAGAGAGATAATAAGAATACGCGCACTTCCACCACCACTAGGTTTTTCGAGCGCTAAGAACGTAAAACCAGAAATCCATAACCTCTTAACTATAAAACAAGAATTATGTCCATCATTTTCAATCTAAACAACAGAATCATACGAGATTCTCGGAATCTGAACAATTACCTTGCTCATCGGCGACCGATTCAAATGAAGACCTCACCATCGGAACAAAGAAAATTCACAGCGATGGACTCAGATTGAGTTCTCACTTTCTGCTTACTCGTCCTTCTACAAAATCTAAAATGATCAAATTATTCAAGCGATAAAGTTCCCTTTCACTCTCTCGCAGACTCTCACACGATCACCAGAGAGACTCGTATCCAGCGACTGCAACTTTCTCCGCGGGATCGCATTTGCCGCGAAAACTCAAAACGGAGCGCGAATGAGAGTGAGACTCGTCCGCGTCTTTTCATTTTTCATTTTTTTCATTTTTTTTTTCCTTTTTAGTTCAGAAAAATGCCCCGGTCCTCTTGGCTTAACAACGACGCTGGAGAGAGAGACTCTGTTGCTTAGTTGGCACTTTCAACGGTCCTAATTTTGTAATCCAACGGTCCAGATAAAAAACAACGAAACGAACATATTTTGGGCGAGGGACACAATGTAATACGTGCACGCTGTTGAAAGGTCGAAGAAAGAGTCAAAACTAACTTTAAAATTAAATTTAAAAAATTAAAAATTAAAAAGAAAACCCTTGCCCTAACGATTTTATTCGGTACAAGGACATGAGAACTACGAAACCAAACACTCCCGTAGCAGCAAATTGGGGAGGGAGATGACCGTGGCGTATTCTGCAAGCTTTCACTCAGCGGCAGCTCGAACGTTTGTAATGGCGATTGATAGGGTTTAAACGAAGACCTAAAAATTATTCAAGAAATGGACATGGATATCGACGATAATTCGACCGCCAAAGGTGTTTGATAATTTTTATTATGTGTTTTTGTCTTTTCAGATTCGTCGTTAACGATTGAGATTCTTTCGTTTGCGATTTTTGACTTGATTAGTGTGTGTATTTAAAGGAAAGGAAGGGCAAGAGAAGCTCATAATGGTGATATTAGTTGGTGCACCAGGAAGCGGCAAGTCCACCTTCTGCGAACTCGTAATGGGTTCCTCTTCTCGCCCGTGGGCTCGAATTTGCCAGGTTTCTCTGTGACAATGAATTCTATCTGTTTGATGAAATGCTTCTTTACACTTCAGTTTATCAGTGACAGTGTAGTGTAGTGTAGTTCGTGTTCGATTTCATAGTTGAGAATTCTGGGCTGGGCACATTTGGAGTAGTTTTATGGATCTTGATGTTCTTCCACTTTCCTCTGCAACATGTCACAATAAACTTGTTTTTTCAGGACACCATTGGAAATGGCAAGTCTGGAACCAAAGCACAGTGCTTGAAGAGCGCATCAAGTGCATTGAGTGATGGAAAGAGTATATTTGTGGACAGGTGCAATCTTGAAATAGAGCAGCGTGCAGATTTTGTAAAAATTGGCGGCTCTGGAGTGGATGTACATGCTGTTGTACTAGATCTTCCTGCACAGCTCTGTATCTCTCGTTCAGTTAAGCGGACCGGTCATGAAGGGAATTTACAAGGAGGAAAAGCTGCTGCTGTTGTGAATAAAATGCTGCAAAAGAAGGAATTACCCAAGTTAAATGAAGGGTTTACTCGCATAACGTTTTGTCACAATGAGACCGATGTTCAATCTGCTATAGATACGTACAAATCACTTGGTTTACATGATACGCTTCCACATGGATGTTTTGGACAAAATAAATCAGACAATAAAGTACAACTTGGCATAATGAAGTTCTTAAAGAAAGCAGACAATCCTGCTAAGACATGTTCTAGTGCCAATGCCATTAAGGATTCTCCAAATCTGCAAACTTCCCGGGAAAATAGCTACTCTTGTGATAAAAAGGAAGAGCCTGCCTGCACAATAAGGGGCAATGTCGATAAAGAGTCAGAGAAAGGCGAAAATCCAGGTGTAAGATCGTTAGGAGACAGTATTTCTCGAAGTGATCCTCCAACCCTTGCATTTCCGTCAATTTCGACATCGGATTTCAAGTTCAGCCATGAAAAGGCTGCTGAAATTATTGTTGAGACGGTTGAGGAATTCATGGATAAGCTTGGAAATGCCAGACTTGTTTTAGTAGACTTGACTTATGGGTCAAAGATGTTGTCTTTGGTTAAAGCTAAAGCAGCCAAGAAAAAGATTAATTGCTCCAAGTTTTTTACATTCGTTGGAGATATAACTAAACTCAATTCAGAAGGTGGATTGCGCTGCAATGTTATAGCCAATGCTGCAAACTGGTATGCTTGTGAGATATTTATGTTTCCTTTCCTATGCAGAGAGTAGATTTTGCCCCAGGCCAATGTCATAGAATTCCAATCATTTGAAGTCTTTGAGATCTTGTTAAATAATGTTTGAGAAAATTATGGCACTTTCATATCATGGTTTTGTTACCTGCTATTTGAACTCTGCATTTGATTGAATTCCTTTATCTATTCAAGATACTTTCTCCAGTTGCCCTTACATTCTGAACTATATCTATCAGCCATCAGGTACCAGGCCTAGAGAAAGATCTACGGAAATAGGGATATTCTAAAGCCTTAACGTCGGTGTTCTTATGTGGATGCTTAATTTTTTTTATCTTTAATTTTACCCTCCCTGTGATAGTATGTGTAAGATCTATCGGCCTGTTTTATCTTTCTTCTTAAAACTTGAGGAAAATTGATTTTATTAGGTGATATGTTTGTTAAAATCTGTATTAGGAAGAGACTGAATAAAGATATTTTGTGCAGGCGACTGAAACCGGGGGCTGGTGGTGTCAATGCTGCAATTTTTAGTGCTGCAGGTCCGGGTCTGGAAGTGGCAACTAAACAACAAGCGAACTCCCTTCGACCCGGCAATACCGTCGTTGCTCAATTGCCCTCAACTTCTCCTTTGTTTAATAGGGAAGGAGTAACCCATGTCATACATGTTCTTGGACCAAACATGAATCCACAGAGGCCAAATTATCTCAACAATGACTATGATGAAGGTTGCAAACTTCTCCGTGCCGCTTACTCTTCCCTATTTCAAGGTTTTATTTCAATAGTAGAAAACCAATTTAAGTCGGTGAAGGGAATTCAGAAACACCTTGGCTCGGCGCCTTCAGAATCAGAAAAGCACTCCGAGGACAGCCCAAGAAGTACTTTCCCGAGTTGCGATCACAAGTTTAAGAGAGAGGATGTGCAGAATCCTGAAAGAAGCAAAAAGTGGAAAGGATCTCAGGATTCAGCTGAAGCATTCAACCAAAATAACAATACGATTGTCCACAAAATGAGTAAGCACTGGGGATCATGGGCACAAGCACTCTACAATACTGCAATGCATCCTGAGAGACATGGCGATACAGTACTGGAGTTATCAGATGATGTTGCAGTACTGAATGATATCTATGCAAAGGTATTTTTCTTTCTTAGTTCTATTGATCCTGCCCTTGTTCTTTGATTGTTGAGTTGGATTTATTTACCGTCTCCTACTCTCTTAAATTTGAGCTTATTAAGAAATAAGAGATTGATTTTAGACTTATTTTGCAGGCACATAAGCATCTTCTGGTAGTGGCTCGGTATGAAGGCCTCGATCAACTAGCCGATGTACGGAGAGAACACCTTCCATTGTTGAGAACGATGCACGATGTGGGTTTGAAGTGGATAGATAAGTTCTTTCATGAAGATGCATCATTAGTTTTTCGCCTCGGATACCACTCGGTAGGTCACTAATACAATTGGGAGCCAAATACATACCAGAAATCCTGATAGGCAAAGTGTTCTGTTTACTTCCTTGCAGGCTCCATCCATGAGGCAGCTGCACCTACATGTTATAAGCCAGGATTTCGACTCAAGTCATCTGAAGAACAAGAAGCATTGGAATTCTTTCAACACCGATTTCTTCAGAGACTCGGTAGACGTTATGGACGAAGTCGGTAGCCATGGAAAGGCAAGCATCAAGGACGACGAGAGCTTGATGTCTATGGAGTTGCGTTGCAACCGATGCAGAAGTGCACATCCCAACTTACTCAAATTGAAAGCACATATTTCAAAATGTCGAGCGCCTTTCCCTTCCACACTACTCGAGGGCAGTCGTTTAGTGATTGCACCAAGTAATACTCATGACTCTCTATCGTAGTTTTAGTGATTCTACTCGTACAAAACTTTTGTTGTAAATATTATTAACTGAATAGTTTTGGTGGTTTGTGTTACTCTTTTGATGGCCTCATGAAGCATGAGTTAATAGTTAGATTCACCTAAAGAAGTACCTCACTTCACTCAAAAAGGAAGTTGGAGTAGGGCTCTGAACCACGAGTCTACTTTTCTTTCATTTTTTTAGAGCAGTATAACTCTTACTTGATCAGATCGTTCCTAATTATTTTAATTGAATAATAAATTTAATATCTATAAATCAATCTACAAAATATTGATTTGAGCATAGTTCAAGTAATTATGTATTTAAGGTGTATTTGAAAGTGATAGTAGAAGGAATGATTTTGAAAAAGAAGATTAAGTATAATTTATTTTCTAAAATCACTATCTAAGTGATACATTAAAAATTAATTTTAAGTGATTTTAATTTTTTTAAAATCAATTTTTTAAAGTTGAACACCCTCACTTCATTCATAATAACATGATAAACTATAACGGTAGAATTGTATATGAGCAAAAATAAATTCAATCTATCAAAATAAATAGCAAAATATTTTTTATTGCAAAATAAAAAAATCGGCAAACTAGTCTTTTGCGATCGAGGACAAGACAAAAAGGAACATTTCAATTTTTGGTAGGTCCCACATAAAAGGACATAGGATAATTAGAAAGGATATCATTTTTAAAAGTCGGCCTCTAATGCAAAAGTGAACCTGTCATTGTAAACGTTAATTCATGGTTATAGAAAGCATCCAAGAATACCTCACCTTTTTCCAAAGCCAACTTCTTTCCTCGAAGAATACTTTTTTAAGTAAACTGAAAAAAAAAAAAGTAAAAATGAAAAAGAAAGAGAAAAAATGGAGGAGAAATTTTAATATCCGATCTACTTGACGAAAATAGGAATAAATGTTGATCTTCATTTTTGTATTCCTATCATTTATTAAAACAACTAAAGAATGATATCTGACTTTTAAACTCCCAAAAATTGAAAATGATCATTTTCATTCATTTTCTCAGGTAATGAATGTCATTCCGTTACTTTTTAAAATTAAAAAACTTTCAAAATATATTTTAACCAGTTAGTTAGGTTCATGGCATTAGTTATTGATATTTATTTACATTTTGTAATAACTAATAATCCTCTAAATTTTAACATCTTCAAACAAACAAAATCTCTAAATTTTTAGCTTTCTATTTAAACGTCAAGTATAGCTCAATAGTAATTGATATATATTTTTTCACTCGAGTTCGGGAGTTAGATTTCTCCAAAATAAAGAAAGAAACAAAACTTTGATTTAAAAATAATTTTGATTAGATATAATAATAAATTTTTCAGTGTTGTAAAATAGCAGCCCACGGTGTTTATTTAGTGGGAAGTCATATCCAACAGAACTGGAATTGGAAGTACTCCGACAAATTCCCCACTGAAAAAGAAAAGCCAATCTCGTCCGACATGCCTTGTGATGAAAAGAACCTTCGAGGACACAACATATGAATGAATCCTCAAAACGCCATAGAAAAACCAAGAAAAACTTCAGCCACTTCGATTTAAAAATTATTTACATTTTGACTTAATTTTTAATATAAAAAAAGTTGGAAAAACTTTGTTGGAGCTATTCAATTTCAAATATTGTAGCTTTTTAATCCTTTTCAATTAAGTATTACAAATGAAGAAGGATCTTCCAATGCCATGTCATGTGTTGTTTTTAATGAAACATCACGTGAGGAGCACGCGCAACACTCGCAATTGCTAAATTTTCTTTCTGAAGACTCCAAAGGGAGAAGCAAGAAAAAGAGAAAATGGAACCCGGAAAATATTGTTCTTAATAACAAAAAGTTCCAAGGAATTTACACCAGAAAATACTTGTTTTTCTAATACAATCTTAAATCACTCTTTTTTTCCTTTTTTTTTTCTTTTTTCAGCTGAATATGATGACACAATAACAAGAAAAATGTTGCAGAATTGTTCCAATTGCACCAAATTTTACTGAGGATTGGGAGGACGGCTGTTGGCAGCAGAGACTCTCGAGCCCCATTCCAAAAGCTCTTTGCTGGTATCATCCTTATGAGCAATTACCTCAATGAAACACAAGCTGTCCTTCTTGGCTTCTGTAGCTGTTTCAATGGCCTCCACAAGCTCTTCCTCGCATCGAACCTGCATCGACAGAAATTTGTTCACAAAACTCGAATTCCATCCCAAAAACATTCATCCGAAACCAACGAGTTCGATATCAACTCACCTTCGTCGTCCAACACTTTCCTTCCCCGTTGTGGATCGCATCGACCAACGCAGTGTAGTTCCAGTTCTTTATCACATTGTAAGGCCCGTCGTGGATCTCGACTTCAATGGTGTAACCACCATTGTTTATCAAGAATATGATGGCGTTCTGCCTGCATCGGATCATGGTCGATATGTCTTGTGCAGTCACCTGTAATGTAAAGTAGTACGGATCGATCGTCAATGTTTTTCTTCAACAGCCTCGAGTATCAAAGTTTGATCAAACCAATTAATTACCTGAAAGCTTCCATCACCAATACAAGAAATTACTCTTTTCTCTGGTACAGCCTGTGCATATCCAAGAGTGGCACCAACTGACCAACCAATAGAACCATACTGCATTTGGAACTCATATCTGCAAACAAACAAAAAACAAAGAGAACAAAAAAAAAATTCACTTTTTAGGATCTGAACATAATGTTTGAATAAATAAGTTTTGTATAAACAATGGCTTACCCGCATCCTTTTGGCAATCTAAGTTTCTGGCAGTTAAACCAAGAGTCCCCTGTTTCAGCAATCACAGCCGTTTGATTACTGAGCATCTTCTGAATGTGTTGGAACAAAACATTGACTCTCAATGCCTCTCTTGGCTCAGATTTCATCGGTTGGCCTTCAGGAACAAAGATCCTGTGGTAGTTTTCATAGGCAGTGATGTTGTTCTTCACCCGCTTTGCAAGTGCTTGGAGGAAATCTTTCATTAGAACACACCCAAATGTCGGTCCATTGCCGATGGTCACGCGATCGGGCTGCACGATGATCGCCTTCTCTCTTTTGAGCAACAGTGAGTACCCAACAGAGCTGTAGTCGTTGAAAATTGGCCCTGCAAACACATACGCATCAGCAGACTCGACGATCTCAGCGCAGAAGGAGGTGCTGACAGCGCCCCAGTAAGTTCCGATGAAGTGAGGGTGGTACTCGGGGACGAGCCCCTTGGCCGATGGCATCACGGCCAAGGCGTAGCCACAGGCATCAGCGAGCTCCACAAAGGCGCCACACGCCTTGGCAACTCGCATCTTAGGCCCACCAACAAGGACTGGCTTCACGGCTTTGTTCAAGAAATTTGCCGCCGCCTCCACCGCAGCCTCTAGTCCAGATGGATTGCTCACTCTGTTGCAATGCCATTACAGTAATCATTCAATCATTTCAAATCTTAAGTTCCTCTCTAAAATGGCATAGTAAAATTCAGGTTATAAACACTACTTTTTACCTAAATTTCTTTACCTCTCTTTGGAGTAAAGAAAGTTTAAGAAATAATTTTGAACTCCGTGATTTGAGATCAAAAAATGATTTAAAATTTTTTATGCTGTTTGGAACTTGAAATTAATTAAATTAAATTTCTTGGTTTAGATATTAGCAGAAAAGGAAAAGAAGGAACATTTGACTGATCTGGATTTTAATCTAAATTTATTAATTACTTTTTAAAACATGACACGGTTAAAGGTAATTTATTTTGAAATTTTATGAAATCAATCCGAACATTTTGTTTCGGAAAATTTTTTATGTAAAAACAGAAATCCCATAGATTGAAAATCATTCACAGTCAAATTGCAGAATTCATTTGAAAGTCCAAATTTATTGCTTATTTTTTATTTTTTATGTAAAAACAGAAATCCAATAGATTTCAAATCATTAAACAGCGAACTCATTTGAAATCTTTCAAAATCCGAGGTAACAAAGATAGCATTAAGGAACTTACTTGGGAGACAGTGAAAATGGAACTGGATCGCGGCTGAAGGTGGGATGGGGAATCCCAGGCAAGTTACAACTGATGCTTATATAAACAGGTTTGCTTTCTTTCAGGGCAGTTGAAATGGCAGTATCAATCAACTCATGTGCATCTTCCAGATTATTCACAACCGCCTAAACAAACCAAAAAAAAATCCAAGAAATTCCATCAAGAACAGTTCATTAATCCACAAGAATCTTTAAAATGTTGTATTCTATTTGTACCTGAAAGCAAGTGACGGTTTGAAAGCATCTAAGTTCTTGGCTGAAGTCAGGGAGGCCGATGGTGTGGTGGAGGATTCTGTTGGTTCCGTAATCGTTGGAGTTGGGACCACCGACGACGCAAATGAGCGGCAAGTTCTCACTGTACGCGCCGGCGATCGCATTCAGAACGCTGAGTCCGCCGACGGTAAACGTGACGACGCACGCGCCGACGCCGCGGGACCTCGCGTAGCCGTCGGCGGCGTACCCGGCATTAAGCTCGTTACAGCAGCCGATGTTGTTCAGCCCGGGCTCGGCGATTAAATGGTCGAGAAGCGTGAGGTTGAAATCGCCGGGGACGGTGAACACATCGGTGACGCCGATTTGGACGAGGCGGCGGGCGAGGTGGCGGCCGAGGGTGGCCTCCGACGAGTTAACGACGGCGGAGGAGGGGACGGAATTTTGGATGGTGCAAACAGAGCCGTTGGATGGGCAGCAGACGGCGCTGTTGGGGGGCTTGCAGGTGTCGAGGGAGCCGATTTTGATGTCCATTGACTGAGGAATAAATCGGGGATTTTGGGAAGGCGACAAGAGAGATGGGGATTTTAGGATTTTAGAGAACGGTGGTTTTGAGCGATGAGATGCCGAGGAATTGAGATGGGGGTTTATATACAACTGATGAAGAGGGGGCAGTGGCGTGGGAGTGGCTATGGGTGGCAACTGGCGACTGGCAAGTGGAAGATGAAACCATTTACAGAGGAAAATAGCGGTTTTGAAAAGGGAGTATTTTTGGAGTGCGGTGATCTCTGTGGATTCTCATGGGTTGGAATCTGTAATCATTGTGATTGGAGTTTCGCGAGTAAATTAAACAGACTAATTACTTCTCGCTTTTCCCTTCCTAATTTGCTAATAAACTATCAATTTTTTTTTCTATTTAGTTATGTGATTTAAATAGTAATTGCTATGACTTATTAGGAACATTTTAAATGTTGTAAACCTCCTTGTCTTTAACTTCAACAAAATATTAATAGTAATATTGATAAAATATTGGTGTTGATAGATATTTCTATAAATTTGTAAAAATAAAGAATTTATAATAAATATATTTCACTTTTTTAAATAAATTAAAATTATTAATATTAATATTAGGTTCATATCAGTTATGTTTTGTTGATATATTTTTTTAATCTTTTATCGATTTTTGGTGATACTATGAAAATGGGTTCATCGCTATGTCAATGTCAAATCCTGGACATATAGAAATGTCGACGTGTCGATAAAAATTTAATATCCTGGTTATGGAATAAAATCAAGTGCAAGCTCTTCCTACTTACACATGTGTGTTCGAGCCTTAGCTTGGACATCGAGAGACAAAGAGGAAGAGCTTGTGATAAAGTAAAAGATCTTTGCATTGTCCATGGTGAACCTTTGAATGACAAAGCCTTGATTCTCAATTCTCTCTCGTTTAAAAGACGAGCCTCACTTTCAAAAAGTTTGCAATCTTTTGCATTCAAATTAAGTTCGGCACGACACTCATTCGAAGTTCTAACTTAAGCTTTGGAGTGTACATGGTCGAGTACCATACCTATGCAATATTCTATTTTCAGGTGCCAACATAGACTGTGTTAGATAGCTTGTGCCAACATAGTCGACATATAATAACAACAAATTTTACTAACCAACGTGGTTATAATATCTCTAATGGATTATAGGTAATGTATAAAACATTTTTAAAAAGTAATAATAATAACAATATTTTAATATATATTTCATATTTTATCAATCTTTTGACAATACTATAGAAATGTTGATTTGTTCTTCATATTAATATCGAACCATGGACATTTGAAAATGTTGACATGTCTACGAAAATTTAATAAGCTATAATAACCCTTATAATAAAACTTATAATATAAGGTATTTAGATTTTATTTTTTTTATTTTTTTTTAGGATCATTTCGAAAAGTTAAACGTGTTTGAGAAATCAAGATTTGTGGAGTCCATTTTGCTAATTATAAAAAAATCGGAAATAAATAAATTGAGATGAAAGTGGTTTTTCTTTTTTCTTTTTTCGGATAATGAGTCTGTTGGCATTTACTTAGCGCATTGCTGATAATGGGCATTAATCTTATTGTTGAAATAATGATCATATCGATATTAATTGTTGGGTGAATTTATAAAAAGACCTTAATCATTCTTGAGAGGTATTTCTTAGAAGATGTCCTAAGTCATGCACTTCGCGCTAAGTGATGCACTAAACATGCATTAAAACCAGTCTTAGAATATGCGAAAACACGCTATATAGGTCGACAAAGCTATTTTAGTGCAGCATAGGACGGAAATAGAACGGTTATAGGTGAACATGGCTCCACCAATAGTCTCACACACCATATAGCTCGACATGAGCTTGATTATAAGTCGGTCATCACCTTAGGTCGGCAAGTCAGCCTTGGCTATTTTAGGTCGACCTCGACTATTTTAGGTCGACCTCGACTATTTTAGGCAGCCTCATCCTCCGTAGGTAAGTGGACCTAGCTCTGTCTAAAGTCAACCCAATCACCTACAAAGTCTTATAAATATGGGGGGTCAGGGACCATGAACCTTCCAAGATATGTCACTTCTTCTCAAACCATTATTTACTTCTTTCCTCTTAACCTCATATATTAACTTAAGCGTGAGATAGGGCGGCACCATGCCGACATCCACTCACCTTCTTTTTTTGCAGGTTTGTTTCGCCTTAGTTTTTGGAGTCAAGATATCGTATAGACTATCAAATCTCACGGTCTTCCAAACAACAAGATCTCTTATTATTGATCACTCGGCAATCGATCCACGCAAATTGTCTGGTTCAGATAACATCGACCTCCAATCCGACCGAGTTCCCAAAAAAATCCATCAACCTTTATGATTATAGATGCATGACAACTGAACGAAGAATTCTCACTATTTTTATCAATTTTTTTTTATTATTGTTGATGTTAATCTAAAATCCAATTTGATAAGAAAAAAAAAAGTTGTATAAAAATTATACTCGTTATGATATTTAGCAACCATAATCAAAACAGATATTTTTAAAGTCTAGGTACTCCAATATATTCCTTATAAAACATGATTAATCTAATTAAGAGAATAAATGTGTTTCAAAGAATTAAGAGCATAAATGAACTCATGAGTCAAGAAAAAAAATTTCAATATTATAATATAGAAAAATTATATAATATTATCATATCATACCCTGCGATATTAAAAACACAGTTAATTTTAGAATGCAAAAATAATAAATTAAGTGACTACTTGACTAAGAAAAATTTGTAGCATGTTTCAAGAAAAATATTTAAAAATTTTGTAGCAATTAAAACTGAAAATTTTCTATTGAAACAATACAATTTTTCTTAAGAGAATTTTCCTTTACCATTTTTCAAATATAAAGACCAAACCATTGTATACTAAAAAGTTTACAAATTTAATTACTACAGATTTACAATTACACCGTTTCTCGATGAGAGCTCAAATTTGTTTTTTTTTTATATTTAAATTGTTATTATTTTCAGAAAAATTGTAAGAGTTTTACTATATTTTTCTTGTTTGCAATTCAGTGAAGCCGCCATCCGGAGTTGCCCGCTATCATCTCCGCTACGGGCTCCGAGTCGTGTGATGCACGAGTGCGACAAATTGACAAGTTCAATTGCAATTTCTCGCATTTTACTAATGTTGCAATTGCAAAAGATAACGTTGGAGAGAAAAATTCGACATAACACATGGATCAAGTATATAGGTTAGATCGATATACTTATCCAACCTTATTTAGATAAACTAAGGTATTTAGTTCTACTTAAATTTTGGGATCAAACAATCGAGTTCGAGAGGAACTAAGACGACCTTCACAAAGATATGACTCACACCACGGTCATTATCGACCTATGACTCGACCATCTGTAACTTCCAACTGCTTGTTTGAACGTTATAACGGGTTTGTCCATTTCCATCATCCGCCTATAAAATGGCACCCACTCCTCTCCGTTAAGTATGCTATTATATCTGAAACTAACTTGCTCAACTCGAGTAAAATATATTTATCTCTTACTTCATAATTGTTAGATATAAACACACTTACAACTTTAAAATGGAATGGTAATATATCTAAAACCTATAATTCAAAATATAGATTTCTTTTTTAATAATAATTCAAAATATAGATTTACTCATATATTTCTCTAACCGGTCACAAATCATCTTAAGTTGCTATCGAGATCACAAAAACTTGAGAAGTAAAAGAAAGAGAGAACTAAACATAGAAAGAAAAAAAAAACAAAATAGGGTTTAAATTATTGGTGAAAGAATGGTACGAGAATTTATTTTATAATGGTAGAAAATAGCACATTTAAAAACTTTTAAAATTTCAACTAATGTAAAATACAATAATTAATTATGACTAAAGACAAGATCATTAAATTTTTAGAAAATTAAATGTTAAACTTTTCTATATTCAGACTCTTTAGATTTCATGTATTTATCAACTAAAAAAATACATTTACTTTTATTCATTGAAAACTAAATTTCTGCCAATTATATTTTATTCATTAATAATTTTATAATAAGATTTTAGACTAATTTTTTCTATTATTAAAAATTCATGTGGTAAAATTCCATAACATATTAATAACATTATACTTTTTATTTGGGGTAAAATTGACTTATTTACATAATTTTTTTAGAGAGGTAACTTCACTCCCCATAAATTTAACATAAATTTCCTGCGATCAAAAAATTTTTAAAGTAATAAAGTAATATAAAGTAAATTTTAAAGTAATAAAGTAATATAAAGTATGTATAATATATAAAATTATAAATCTTTTGAAATTTCAAGATTTTTTATCTTTCTAAATAAAATATAATATAAATAAAGGTAATTTATTTAATTAACTTTTCATATTCTAACTTTTTAAAATTAAATTAACGTAAATTTTGAAGATATTTTAAATATACCGCAGCTTCTTAATATATTATAATATATAAGGTAATAATTATTAACTAGGTTGCTTTTCAATTTCTAAACTTTTAAATCAGTGATTTTGATTAAATATATAATTTATTAAATAACAATAATTAATTGTAGGTGGGATAAAATAGTTTTAAAATATTTTTAAAAAATAGTTGTTCGCATGAATTTCTAATATAACACATAATTTTCTAATGCTTCAAATTTCAAGGGTCGGTGAGCTTGTTCTCAAAATAATGAAGTTGACGCTTCGACTTGTAGATTGTTGAAGAATCTTTGAAATTTTCGACTTTTAGCTAGTCGAAGATTTTCAGCTTACAGTTTTAGTGAAGTTCTTCGGTTACATAGCTTGATGGAGTATTTGGCTAGTTGCAGCTTGACGAAGTACATCGGTTACAAAGCTTAATGAAATCTTTGACTTGCAGTTGATGAAGTTCTCTCGCTTGCAGCTTGATGAAATCTTCGACCTATTGATAATGAAATCTTTGGCTTGTATCTTGTTGAAGCCTTCAACTTGCAATAGATGAAGTTTGCAACTTGATGAAGTCTTTGTATCTCCAATTCTTATCGACTCTAGATGCTTGTGGACGATTTTGAATGTTCGGATAACTTTAAATCGGAATTCTTCTAAATGCTCAAAATGAGATGTGACCTCGTATAGTCTTATATGGATCTTCTTCTCATG